CCGCGGTTGAGCTTCGCAAGCGCTCCTGGGCGCTCGGCGCACGGCCCGGCCCAGCTCCCGATCGCCTGGGCAGGGACAAGCGCGGCTTCCCACGCACGTTGCGCAGATGGCCCAGTCAAGTCCCAAGTCGTCGTCGAGGCCGCCGACAAGCGAGAGCCGCGAAATCCGGCGAGAACAACTCGCGGGCTCAATCCAATTGCGCGCGGCCCACCTCGAATGCGCAGCGCCTCGAACGAGAGCGCCCCCCGCGCCCATCGCCCCCGGGTTCCTGGCCAGGTCGTCGTTGGACACATGGCCGAAATGCTGGCGTGGCCGGCTCGGTTGGGCTCGCGCGCCAAGGGGGTGCGCCCCCGCTATTTTCCCGAACGAGATGGCGCGGGCCCCGATCGGCTCTCCCCGGGGGGTCTCGTCGTCGTCGTCGTCAACTTCCGCGGGGATGCTGCGGAAACTACGCCTGCAGACTTCCGCATACGCGTCGACGATGCACTTCGGGAATTGGTCGGCGTAGACCTGTCCCCGGGCGGTCTTCTTCGGCGCGCCAATCAGCCCCGAGCCCCCGTGCTTCTCGACCGCCTCGTGCGCGGCCAGGATTTCGGTGGGCTTCGGGGCCGGGGTTCCAGCGCGCGGCAATCGAAGTCCGCGCGCGAGCGCGTCGGCCCTGAACTCCGCGGCGCCCTCGAAGGCCCTGGGCCGCCTCCGAGGGGGCTCGTTCCAGGACTGGGCTCTCCAGGGGTGCTCGATGACGGCCGCGCTGCCGCCCGTGCACTGGGCGACGAATATCGCTTCGTCGAGCTTCGAGGTCGGCAGTTCGCGCAGGCCGCGCATGTTGCTCCAGATCCTGCGCGGGAGCTCCACGGCCAAACAAGCGGGCGCATGCTTCTCGATGTAGTCGACGAGCTCACAGGCGGCCCCGGGCTTCTCGAGGTCGCCGCCGCAGACGATGCCCCGCGGCCGCCCGACTCAACGCCCCCGCCGAGCAGCTTCGCGAGATGCCCGGGCTTTCCCGCCCCAGGTCTCCATGGGCCGGACCGTTCGGGCGCCGCCGTTCACCGCGAGCTGCGCCCCCTGCCTCGGGGCCGGGCCGGTCGACGCGAGCGACTCCGACCCGCTGCCGACGATGAGCCCCGCGGACTCCCCGATGCTCGCGGCGACGCACAGCTCGGGCAACGCCCGGGCGGTCAGAGCACTTCAAAGGCCATGTCGGGCCCTCATCATCGCACCCTCGCGCAGGCGCTTCTTCGCCGCGCTGCCCGGAAGTCCCGGTTGGCCCGCGCGCTGCCGGCGCGGGTCGACGTCGCTCGCATCGTCCGCAAACGGGTCGACCTCCGAGATCTTCCCCAGGCCAGGGCCCCAGTCAGCCTCCGACACCTCCTGCTCCACTGCTACCGTCGGAACTGCTGTGGATAACCCCATCCGCTCGAAGCGTCGCCTGCGCTGTCCTGGCTCGCGTGCGATGACGTACTCCGCAGTCATCCTTTTCTCGCATTGGCCTGCAGCTCCCTTGCCATCGGCGGGGTGTCGGGGGCTCTCTTGGCCGCCGCCGTCGGCGGCCGCTGTCTCGGCGCGACCGCCGCCGTCGGCGCCCCCGCCCCACCCCCCCGCAAAAGGCGCGCGGGGGCGGGCCCCCGAGCGCGGCGCGTCGAGGGCGCCCCCGCGATCGGCGCTCACGCGCAAGCAAACGGCGACCAAGGAGTCCTTGTGCAGCTTGCTGGGGCCCGAGACGAGCTGGGCCATGACCGAGCCCCTCCGACGCTTCGCCCCCGGGGGGCCCGGCGGCCGCGCTGCTCTCTGGGCCGTGCGTCGCCGCGCCGACGTCGGCGGGCAAGTCGATCAGCTTGCTTTCGGCAGCGGCGTCGTCGCCCCGGAGACGATGCGCCCCGGCGCGCGAAGCTTGCCATCGCGCCGCGAATGGAGGTCGTGCGAGCTCGAGCCGCGCCAATCAAAATCTGGGTGAATCGCCGCCGCGCCCGCGACGGGATGGCGCGCCCCTGCGCCGAAGTCCGCCGGGGCGCCTCCGGCCCCGCTCGCAGCGGCGCGGGCCGCCGGGGGCCCGCGGCATTCGAGCGCGGAATCGAAGAAGCAGCTTGACTCGAGCCAGCGGCCGCGGAGCCCGCGGCGCACCGTCTGACTGACTCGATGCGCGATATCCATCTTTGCGCGCGCGCATGGTCTTGGCCTGCTCGACCTGCCTCCTGCGACGTGCTCGGAATATGCTTCGACCTGCTCGATCTCGATGTTCGCCCAATTGCGTGCTGTCTGACCTTCTGAATATGCGCTTCCACGCGCTTGCCAATAATGTTGGCATGATCGGAATTCGCCCCCGCATGCTCGATGCCCCCCTTGACCCGCTCGGCCCCCCATTCGCAAGCCATCGACGCCCCTCCCCGTCAAGGGCCCGAGGGCCCGCGACGTCGAATTGCACGTCTGGCGCTGCCCCATCGTAGGCAGCGCTGCCCGGTGCGACGCAGCCCCCCTCGGAGAACTGGAAAAGATTGGGCGGCGGGTCGGGCGCTGCGAGGCAGCTCCCGCCAATGGAAGCGGCGGCGCACCAATCCCGCTTGGATAGGCGCAAGCGCCAATCCCGAGGGTCGTCTCCGACGCCCCGGGTGCAGGCGCCAGCCCCGAGGGTCGTCTCCGACGCCCAGGCGCTTGGCCACCGGTCGGGGGAAAGCGGCGGCTGGCCCCCGGGCGCGACGCCGACCTGGGGGGTTCCACGAACGCGATGCGCGACGCAAGTGGAGATGAAGGAGGCGAACGAACTCCAGACTGGTTCGCCAGCTCCGATCCCGAAGGGCCCCTGCCCAGCCACCTCGGACGCCTCGGGCCTCGCGCGTGCAGCCCGGGGATCGCCGCCCACATCTACGGCGGATTCGCGACGCAGCGAGCGCAGCTGCTCTCGTAGACTGCGAAGCCTACGCGCCACTGTACCCCCTCGAAAAACGCGAACACGAACGCTGGGGAGAGGTGGGGACCTGGGGCCGCGTTCGGCTTCCGCGGCGCAAGTGGCCGTTGAGTCCCCTCCCCGGCGCGGCCTTCGTCGTTGCCTACTGCGTCCCGACCTCCGCGCCAGGAACATCGTGCGCCGCCAACATGGGCATCCGCGTTTCACCAGGCCCCGTCTGGGGGCACTCGGGATCGCCTTCCCCGTGCCATCGTTGATCTGTTTGAAGTCTTGCAAATGGACGTCTTCTTCAGCTCGTCGATCTGCTTCTGCCGCATTACAGTCGGGGCGTTAACCTAGGAACCCTAAAAAAGGAACGAGCCCCCTTTCTCCCATGAGTTGAACTTGGATCTCTCATGGAAAGCCCAATGAAAACCTGAGGCGAACTGTCGGACAATCAAGGAGCACTGGGTCCCTCCCCAGAGAATAAGGTTCCTTCTTCAGCGCCCCGACTGTAGGTCGCGCTGAACTCCCCCCGCGGCTGGTGCAGGCAAGCCGCGCCGGTTCTTCAAATCCTTCACTTTGAACTTGGCAATCGCGGGCTTTGCCCGAAACTTGTCGCCCCGCCGCCGGCCGCTGCCCCTCCGGCCCGCCGCGCGCGCTTCGGCCATGGCCGCCGTCGTCTCCTGGTCATCTTGCTCGGCGTTCTCAGGGGGAGGCCCGATTCGGTGCGCGTTCCGATCCAGTCCGATCTCTGCATTCGATGCCAATTGGCAATGCTTTTCTTCCATAGTCACACTGGGCAGCAGCGATGGCCGATGCGCGGCCTGGCGTCAGCCGAAGGGTAAGGAGTGAGGACGAGGAGGGAGGGCTGCAGGGCGGTTCGTCGAATGCCGCCCCCGTGCGCGGGGGGCCCGTACGGTCGCCGCCGTTGGCCAGGGAAGACTCCACCGTTCAGAAGAAAACGCGTGGTCGAGGTCACGCAGATACTCCCGAAGTGGATATGGTGTACCATCAGATTTTCGGCGCGCATGGCCTGCTGCTGCGATCCATGTCCCATCTGGGCCCAAAGTTTGCCAAACTTCTGCTTCGGGCGGACGGATTATATGGTCCGGGGTTCAGATCGTTCAAACTCCGACGCGTTCGGGCAAGTTCTCCCAGTGGCAGCCGTCACGCGTGTCAAATCGCAATCATTGCTGGCACTTGCCAACACCATGGCCTTCCTGACGGTCGGCAGCCGTAGCTTTTCCAGAAAGAACCAGCAGAGCATTATGGGAGGTAGGTCCATGGCGAACTTTGCCAGCCTATGCGCCAGGGTGTTGAAATGCCGCTTGATCGTCATGATATGCTCCTGTGGTCGCCACTTGAGCAGGACGAATAACTTATGTAGAACATGTTCTGGCCTCAAACTTGTTCGCTTTTCGAAACAGTCCCTGAGTTCAGTCATGAAGCAGTCGCGGCCAAAAACGCATGCGAGCCGCTTCAAGTCGATATCTTCGACCGAAGCCCAAACGTCATTTTGCAGCCTGGCGAAGTCCCTCCAGCCTGTGCCGTCAAAAATGGGGACGGGAAGGTTATCCCGAGTGCCGCCTTCATCAGCCGCCGCCGTGGGCTGGGCCGCTGCACTGTCGTCGTAATCGACGGACTCGCGGTCGTCCTCCGGGAAGGCCTCGTCGTCGTCGTTGCCCCTCAGCGACGGCGAAACAGCACCGCCCGCACGGCCGCTTTCGGTAGGTTTCCACGGGCATCCAGCCATTGCGCACGCAGACATAATGGAGTGCAGATATCAATGTTGCGAAGCGCAGACCGAAACCACAGGCTCCGGCGACCAATGTGAGTGACGCAGCGATCACTTATGTTTACCTTATCAGGAAGTGAAACCAGCAACCAGAGGCTCACAGGAACACCTGGTTTGGGAATATGCGGCAGCGGATGGGGTGATAATGCGAAGGGGCTGAAACATGCGCCTGTCGTACCAGCCCCGCAATTCACAACCTGCATCCGAAGGGCAACGGCGAGAGCAAGCAGAGCTGGGTAAAAGGGCCACGAGCTCCGACGGAGCATGTGGACAAAACCAGAGGAGACGGCGGACGATGCCGCTGTGGTTTTCGGTACGAGCCTGTCAGTGTCGCTCCCATGCAACAGCACCAGCCCCGCGGCAACGGGCATGATGCTGCCCACCGCCTCGGCCGCGGCGCGGTCCGCCGCCGCCTCCTCGGCGCGGCGCGCCGCCGCCCAACCTCGGGGGTGGGGAGGGACAGCGCTGGAGGGACTTTGGGGCATCGAAGTTCGAGGCTCGAAATTTTCGGACGAGCTTGTCGCTTCTCGTGGGTTCTCCAACATCGAGGTGCCTTCCAGCGGCTGCGCCTCGCCGAGAGCTCCCCAAGGGTGTTTGGATCGCTCCGAATGGCAGCAAGATGCGTGGTCAAGACCAGAAAACCACCAGGGGACTGGCTCAGGCGGGAAAACATCGACCTGGAATCGGCGATACATCGCCGATTAATCGGCGATAGGCTCTTGATATCCAAACTGGACGCTCTGGGCGGTGTGCGCTATCGGACCCCTATCGGGGATGAATGGGCGACTAGGGGTCGATACATCCCCCCCAGAGCCTATCCCACCCTAACTTGGCCACTGATGGGGGGGGGAATCGAACATTTACACACGTCCACCTCTTTCCTCCTTTCGGGCGTTGGCAGATCTAGGTTTAGTGGGACCTGGTTTAATGATATGTACTGATGGATGCCCCCCGCGTCCCGTTCCACTAACCGGAACTGCCGTGACCCGAAAAAAATAGCTACGGCAAGCCTGGTTTAGTGATTCTGGCAAATTTAGGGGCTCCGGGGCCCTACTACTAACCGGGTCCCCTCACCTAGGGTCCTGGCTATACCCGATCCTTTCTTCCCCCTCCTCCTCCTCCTTCTCCTCCTCCTCCTCGGAAATCCAAGCGTGGCGATGTGTTTGTCCAGGGACCATCGCAGATCGATCTGGCCCGAACAAATGCAGAAGAAAGATGGTGCCTAGGGTTCCAGTCGCGACTGCTCGCGATGTTGTATGTGCTCGCGACGCCGGACCTCAGGGTCCTCTGGTCATCCCTCCTGGGAAGAGGCAGGAGAAGGAACGAAACGGATATCTGCACAGACACTTCCATCCGAGGGAGGTGGCACCTACGCCGACCAGCCATGACTGGGGGAGCTGTGGGGTCCTTACCCCCCTGGGGGAACCCATCGCATCGACGATCTCTCGGGAGGGGTGTCGAAATCGATGGGCCCCCCAGGGGGGTAAGGAACACAGCTCCCCCAGTTGTGTCTGGCCTGCCACGCCGCCCCGTTGGCGCCCGTCTCGTGCCTCCTCGGAAGGCTTACCTCGCCCCTGACTTTCCCCTAAAGCTTCCCCAGAACTCCTCCGAGCAGCGCAGAGCTACTCGAGAGGAGCGCGGGGCTCCTGAGAAGCCACGCCGCCCTCTGAGAAGGCCTGCCCCCTCTCACGTCCCCCTCCCCCCCCGGCGCGGTGCCGAGTTTGGTTTTCGGGTCATAGCTCGGGTCTCTGGCGCACGTTCGGGACGATCCAGGCACCCCTGGCATGCGACCGGAGAGGCGCAGATGTTGGACAAAAAACACTCCGAGGGTGGGAAGCCTCCGGAAACCTATCAACACATCCGAACATGTAGACCTTACCCGACGGCGCGCCGCCCAATAATTGCCCATTTCGATGTTCGAGGTTTCAAGCTGGAGGATAAAAGACTGTTGCGCGTGTTTGCCCCTACTGAGGCCTCTGGAAGACTCCGCGCAGGCCTACTGGCACCTCTGCCCCTCCACGGCCCCCTCGCCTGGCCATCACGTCGCTCACTCCCCTTTCCATCTCCACGCCTCCCCTGCTGTCATGCCCGTCCTCCTTCCGTTTCCTCCTCCACAACCTCCTCCTCCACAACCTCCTCCTCCACCTCCCCCTCCTCCTCGCAGTCACCGTCCCCGTCATTATCCTCGTCTTCTTCATCATCATCATCATCATCACCATCATCATCATCATCATCGTCCTCATCCTCATCATCATCATCATCATCATCATCATCATCATCATCATCATCATCAGCATCATCAGCATCATCACCAGCACCATCACCATCATCACCATCATGATCATCATCATCATCACCATCATCATCATCATCAGCTTCATTGCCAACATCATCGCAATCATACTCAAATTCGCAACCACAGTCACAATATGGCGATATCTTTTCTTCGGATGCTTGCCTTGATGAATTGAGCCCGGACGTCGACGTACAGACTCTCTTACAGTAAACCTGCTGGGTGTCTCTGGATTCCTGCAGCCCCCTTCGTGCCACCCAGCTCCTCAGCCAGGCACGATACTCGAATCCTGAAAAGCTCCGAAACTCATTGACAGTACACAGCGCTCTGGACCACGACGTTGGTCGAGCACTGCAGTCAAAAGCACACGCCATCACCGCGCTGACGACCGTAGCCCGTCCAAGGCAATGACAGCGCGGGGCGAAAGACTGCAGGCCAAAATGGCCAAGCCAAAATGGCCGCTCGTGCCTCTAGTTCAGACCTTCGCCTGAAGGGCACTCGAGAGAGGCGCGTCCGAGAGCTCGACACTCATCATCTTCAGCGCTCGGAGCATCGCCGCCTGGTCGAGGAACTTCGTCCCCAAGTCCGCCGGGTTTGACTTCCCGGGAACCTTGACCAGTTCAAACCGTCCATCCTTGAGTGCCTTCTGCACCCACATCGTCGGCGTCTCGAGGTGTCGGACCTTGCCGCAGCCCCGTCGCTGCATGATGCCAAGAGCAGCCGCCGAGTCGCTCCAGATGCGAAGGCTCACTTCCCTGCCTAGGCCCTGGCACAGTGACTGCATGCCGATGGCCCTGCTGGCCGCTCGCACACAGCCGTAGAACTCTGCCTCCCCCGAGCTCATGGAGATGGGGATCTGAGTCGTCGATGCCGTCGCGATCAGGTGCTGCCCATGCTTGACCACAACTGAACTGGCCAGTCAGTGTCCGAGTAGATGTCCATCACCGTGGGCGCCCGCTGTCGGCCCCACCTCCAGATGGCCCGCGGCGCCCCGATCAAGAAGCGTCCAGCACGCTTCAGGAGGCGGAGGTGTCGCTCTGTCGGTTTCTGCATGCCGCGAGCGCACTCCTTGGCCGCGAACTGCACCTCTGGCCGGTCGAGCGCCAAGTAGCCCAGCCTCATGCACGCGCTGCGGTACTCCGCCGCCTCGTGCTCGTTCAGCTCGCGCTCGACCTCAGGTGTCAGTTTCTGGCTCAGCCCTGGCGTGCTCAATGACTTCGTAGTGCGGGGGCCCATTTCGAGCTGTGCGTGCAGGATCTGCGCGCGCCTGGAATCCGCCTCGTACTCGATGGCCTCGCCCCCTTGGCTCCATCGGTCTCGCCAGCGCACTACCCTGTCGAGGCGCGTGATCTCCTTCGCGTCGGTAGGTGCCGGCCCAAGCGCGCCCCTGTCCTTCACGAGGATCTTCGTCTTCAGAGCCTCGCAGATCGACTCCGTCGCGCCCCGAGAGCCCTCGAGCACGAAGTCATCGCCGTGGTGGAAGAAGCTCACTTGCAGGTCCTTGCGGCAGTACACGCAAGGTGAGGAGGCCGACTGGTCGCAGCCAGCACCGATGACCGTCTCGGCGGTCGCGAGCTCGAAATTCTGGCCAGCGTCGCGCGTCCCGTAGAGCGCCATCCGCAAGAGCCCATGCGTGCCGACCTCCTGCGACATCGGATCCTCCTCTGGAAGCTTGATGTAGACCGTCCTCTTGATTTCGCAGTGCGGGTGTGCCCACGAGATGTCCAGGAAACGCTGCACGCGACCCTCGGACGGGTCGCTTGACCTCGCCATGCTGCAGATGAGCCGAAGGCACTCCAGCGGCGGGGTCGCCGCGAACGCCGCGCCGCTGTCGTCCCCGGCGATGGTGCTCTGCGCCTTGGTCTCCTGCGCGACGAGCCTGGATCTGTAGTCCGGCAGGTCGGTGTCGCCCTTGTCGATGTCAACCCAGCGCGCGCTGAGAGGCCCCCGTCCGAGCTCGCGCTGGCAGTCGTCCTCCCTCGCGTAGACCCACGCGCCGAGCTGCGCCATGAAATCCATCTCCAGGCGCCTCGCGGCTTTCACCAGCGTGGGGCCCCAAATCTGCAAGAGTTTCACGGATTCCGATGATCAACGTACCAGAAATTGCGTTTTGGAAGGATTCTGGATTATGCGGGTGCAACAGTTATGTTGATTCGCGGTGTTGGAGTCCCACAAATGGCCTCTGGCACGACTCCGGATCGTCAAGACGCAGCAGTCAGGTTGATACGTGGCGTCGAAATCCCAAGAACAATGTTTTGGCATGCTTCAAGATCTTCAAACGGTTGTCTTTCAACGAGGCAGTTCCCTCAATGAAAATGAACGGCTGTGGGGGCCTATGAAGAGGGATCTTGGAGGGAAGGTGAATTCCAACATCGTTTATGACTCTTGGTTGACACTGGTCCTCCCCCTCCTACTCCTCCAAACCTCCTCCTCCTCATCCTCCTCCTCATCCTCCACGAGTAGTATTCTTAAGAGTGTGATTATTCGTATTCGTAGTACTATTATTATTATTCGTCATAAGCTTGTTCGTCTTAGTTTTTATGTGTTGCTTACTCATGGTAGCGGCATGACTAGTGTTAGCAGTAGTGGTAATATGGTTGTTAATACGGTGCCAAATGTTATAAGTATAAATAGTGCTACTCGTATTATTAACAATTCTGATACCACGAGCATGGTCGTTATTACGATTCTGAATAGTAGTGATAGTAGTATCAGTGCTAGTAGTGGTCGTATCCATATATGCTACTAGTAGTAGTAATAGTAGTAGTAGTAGTAGTAGTAGTAGTAGTAAAAGTAGTAGTCGTAGTAGTAGTAGTAGTAGTAGTAGTAGTAGTAGTAGTAGTAGTAGTAGTGGTAGTCGTAGTAGTAGTAGTAGTAGTAGTAGTAGTAGTAGTAGTAGTAGTAGTAGTAGTAGTAGTAGTAGTAGTAATAGGAGTAGGAGTAGGAGTAAGAGTAGGAGTAGTAGTAGTAGTAGTAGTAGTAGTAGTAGTAGTAGTAGTAGTAGTATCACTGGTTGCATCATTGAGAATATCAAGACCCACCTTACTACCGTTAGTATTTCAAATACTCGTAATAGTAGTATTGTCATGGGCATTCGTATTCGTAGTAGTAGTAGTAGTAGTAGTAGTAGTAGTAGTAGTAACTGCTTGATTACTCATAGCACTATTCTAAGTACGAATACGATTATTAATGTGGATGCTACAATTATGAATATCACTATTGTGTCTGAGAGTATCACCAATAGTGTCATTATTAATTAATGCTTAGTTGGAATACGCCTCGATGGTTAGTAGTATTACTAGATGTTGCTGGAGTAGTAGTAGTAGTAGTAGTAGTAGTAGTAGTAGTAGTAGTAGTAGTAGTCGTAGTAGTAGTAGTAGTAGAAGTAGTAGTAGTAGTAGTAGTAGTAGTAGTAGTAGTAGTAGTAGTAGTAGTAGCAGTAGTATGCTTACAAGTACTATTACTAGCCGTACGATTACTAATAGTACGGATGTGATTATCATGAACATTCGCATGGTTATAATTAGTAATGGTATTCGTGCTCTTTTCGTACTAGTATTCTTATGTTTCGTGTTGTGATCCGTCTTCTTAGTATGAGTATTAGTCTCCGCATTAGCATTCGTGATGTTATTCTTATTGTTGTTGATACTCTTCCTCCTCCTCTTCCTCCTCTTCCTCCTCCTCTTATTCCTCCTCCTCCTCCGCCGCCGCATCCTGCGCCGCCTCCTCCTCCTCCTTTTCCTTTTCCTCCTCCTCCTCCTCCTCGTCCTCCTCGTCCTCCTCTCAGGAGCACACGACAGTGGTGACAATATCACACTTCGCAGCCCCCCAGGGAGCCGCGAGATGTCGACGGGATCCCCGTACAACTCCACTCCACTGGACCTCCCACGACCCTACGAAAAGGGGCGACGGTCTCACGCTTCGCAGCACCTCAGAGACCGCGAGGCATCAACCTGGGTCCCCGTACAACTCCACTCCGCGCGGCTTCCCACGAGCCCACGAAAGTGGCGGCGGTCTCACACTTCGCAACCCCCCCAGGGAGCCGCGAGGTCTCAGCTGGGTCCCCGTAGCACTCCACTCCGCACGACTTCCCACGAACCCTCGAAAGGGACGACAGATTCTCGCATCGCAGCCCCCCAGGGAGCCGCGAGGTCTCAACTGGGTCCCCATACAACTCCACTCCACGCGACCTCCCACGAGCCCACGAAAGTGGCGGTGGTCTCACACTTCGCAGCGCCCCAGAGAGCCGCGAGGCCTCAACCGGGCCCCGTGCAACTCCACTCCGCGCGACCTCCCCCGAGCCCACGAGAAGTGTCGACGGTCTCACACTTCGCAGCCCTGGGAGCCGCGAGGTCTCAACTGGGTTCCCATGCCAGTCCACCCTTGACCTCTCAGGAGCCCACGGAAGTGGCGGCGGTCTCACACCTCGCAGCCCCAAACCCGCGCCTCGCTCGAGGCATCCTCAGAATGTGCCACGCCATCATCATCAGCAGGGCCTCTTCCGACCCTCGTCGCCAAGAGAGATGATGTTATTTGTGAGGAGCAGCGCGCGGCGGCGAACTCGCGGCTACAAGGCGAGCCACTGGACAGGTAGACGAGCCTCGCATCCAGCCAGAAAATGCCACACTCAAGCTCGAAGGGGGGAGAAAGGGGGGGAGGGGGAGCTTGAGCACAAGTGGCAGTGGCCATACGGCGACGCTCCCTACAGTGCCTGCTTCACGTACTGAATACACCCAGCAGGGCCTCTTCCGACCCTCGTCGCCAAGAGAGATGATGTTATTTGTGCGGAGCAGCGCACGGCGGCGAACTCGCGGCTACAAGGCGAGCCACTGGACAGGTAGACGAGCCTCGCATCCCGAACCCGAACGCGGACTTGGCCGAAGGCCGAAAAAACTCAGGGCTATACCCCCATTCTGCGAGTGAGAGCCAGGGAGCGCTTATTCTCACAAGTGCGGACGAGGATGGCAGCGGCGGCTCGGGCGAAGGCTGTCGGGTAAGCAGCAGCAATAACGGTCCAGTGCTTCCCGCCGGGCGCGCGCCCGCTGAGTTCAAGGTGGGACCGGAGCGTCCTGCTGCACAGGCCGCGAGGGCCACCGCATTTCTTCGATAGCTCCCACAGCTCTCCGATGCCCCATGCTTGCACCCTGGTAGCTTTTCTCCAGGGCGCGCCAAACTGACGCATGTGGCATGCTACAGAAGTGCTGCCCCTTAAATTCAGAAGCTTCTGAAAGCGAGGGGAGGGCCACATGAGGCTGGTCTGCGGGTTCTCGATCATGACACCTATCCCGCATCTCAAACATGCACGGATCACTTGAAGGGAAAAGAGGAAAGACCTGTTCCCAATGTCAAGCTTGCCACGCTGTTCAGGCGAGAGGTCGGGCCGGCCATCAGGGCATTGCTCAGTTCGCAGCGGGGTTCGGAGCGCGCGGGTCCAGGTACTGCACGGCGTGCCGAGCCGCGCGCCTGCGATGACCCCGCCGGAGATCCAGCCCAGGATCCTGTTGAAGAAGGCTGGCGTCAAGTGATTCTCCAAGGGCGAAGCATTGATGTCCAGGCTGAGCGCGGCGTAGCCCATGGCCTGCGCGCTGGCCGCGACGCGGCCACAGCCCCCGAAGAGCTCCAGGAACAGCAGCAACCTGAGTCGCACGGCCCGGCCCAGGCTCGCCACGAGCCTCTTGCCCAGGTGGGCGCCGACGTCCCCGCCGTGAACCAGGCGGGCCACGTGGCCGGCCGCTTTCGCTTGCGGCCGGCGGCGGACGCGGCCCCGGCGCTCGGGCCTGCGGGCAGGAGGGCCCTCACACTCGCCGGGGCCTGGTCGGAAAGCGGGCCGGCCAGCCCGTGCTTCACGAGCGCTGTGAACTGGATCATCACACCGTTCCCGAAGCTGAAGACGTCGTTGTGCACCTCCGCGGCGGCTTTGAAGGTCAGCTTGAACTCCGTCGCGTCGAAGTCCCACAGCGAGGCGTCCGCGTGAGTCGCCGCCTGGAGCCCCGCCAGCGCGGGGGGGATACAGCTGTCCTGGTCGGTGAGCACCGCGTCGTCCGACACGCCGGTCTTGGACGGCTGGCCGAGCTCGAAGTCGTGGAGTAGCAGTCCCCAACTCACGTAGCTTGCCCCTGCCGCCATCACGGGGGAGACCAGGTGCCCTCCCAGCCGCGCGGTCCCCTCCAGCGGCCTGAGATAGCAGATGAAGGTCAGCATGGTGTAGATGGCCATCCGCCGACGGCTGAGGTGCAGCATCACCCCCGCGATCGCCGCCGCCCCAGTCCTTGGCATTGGCAGCCTCGAGCGCCCAGGAGCACGTCGCTTCCAGGCGCCGGCCGCCCGGCACGCGCGTGGCAGGTGCAGCCCGCTGCGCCGGGCCAAGCCTGGGAAGACGTGTGAGAGCGCCGCGATCAGCTGCGTCCCCAAGTCCGAGCACTTGCCGTCCCGGAACTGGTGAGTCAGCAGCGCGGTGACGGCACTGTCCAGCGACTCCCAGCTGTCCCAGTCCAGGCGGTACATCCGGCAGAAGAGGACCAGCGTCGCCGAGCGGTCGTGGCACTGCCTCTGCGTGCTCGGGCGGATCGCCGCGGACTCGAGGCCCGAGAGGCCGAAGGTCCGCACCGTCGAGGCTGCCGCGAGCTGGGCGTTCTGCGCCCGCTCGACAGCGGCCTGCGCCGCCGCTGGCCGCCGGCGCGGCCCCATGGGGCCGGGAAAGGTGCACGTGGTATGGAGTAGTGAAAAAACCGTGATCGCCTCGAGACGGATGGTCTGCAGGATTTAGTTCAGATGGTACCCAACGCACAACTATCTTACATCCCGTGGTCAACGACAGATCAGCCATCTTCTGAAGTACATGCCGAAGATATCGAGAGTTCGCCCGCCCTTTGGTGGCCGCTAGGGCCAGTGGCAAGTTATCCACTATAAACAGGATCTTCTTCCCAAGAGCCCCAGTGTTCCTGAGCGTGTGCCGAATAGCCATAAGGAGCGCCTCCCCCTCCAGCTCTAGGATGTCGGTGGACCCCGCAACCTTCGAAGCGTGAACAACCTCCCATGTGTCAGACTCCAAGAGGCCTAAGGGGACCTCGTCGAAAGCCACGGGGTTGTCGACCAGCAGGTTCTCGAGGGCCTTGTCGGGGTCACCAGTGGAGTCCACAGCCGTCTGATGAAGAGCATGCTCGCGGGCCCGCTGGGCCCCCTCAACTCGGAAGCGCCACCTCTCGCTGCATCGGCCGATCGATGATACCAGCGAAGTGGGAGCTTTTCGGACAGTGACGCCGAGACCGAACAGAGACGCAGAGGCGGCCACCTCTGGCCACCGCCCTGCGCTGACGTCAACGCTGAGCAGCGGTAAGATACAGCGTGCTCGCCAGAGCTCGCGTCGCACCGATCTCCAAAGACGCGCCTGCCGAGACCCGATCCGCTCGGCAAACGGGTAACTGGCGTTGAGCAAAGAGAGGACTTCTCGCCGTATCAACCCCGCCCACGTGAAGTGCCCAATGATGACCCTGAGGGCGTCTCCAGAACAAAAACCGCTTCTGCGCAAAGCGTCCAAACCGAAACGAAGTCTCCAAATGCTCCTGGCCTTGATCGAAAGATATCGCCCTCTCTTCAGCTCTAGCCCTACGAATGTGGCGTCCCGTGCGGCAGGCTCCTCATCGTGAGTGAGAAGCCCTTTCTCCGTCAGCACGCGCGTGATGGCAAGGGCGGCCTGGTCGACGAGGGCCGGGGGGCGTCCCAGGGCGGCGTAATTGTCGACGTAGCCGGCGACCGGCGAGGCGCCCTCCCGGTCGACCACGACCCCCGCCTTCCCGTCCTCGATGCACTGGTCCACGGTGAACCCCGCGGTGTCCATGGCGCGTCGCAGCGCGCCCTGACAGAGGGCCAGCGCATGGCTCCAGCCCATCGGCAGGACGCACACGCAGGGCTGCACTCGCGCCCCTCGCGCGAGCGGGACCCCGTCCAGGTGCGTGATCCCGAGCAGGCTGGCATCCAGGGCGGGTAGTCTGAAGTGCGAGGACAGCCCGTCAGGCAGTCGTAGTCTGTAGAAGGCATTGTCGATATCACCTGAGGCCATGTAGGTGTCGCGCCCAGGGTTCTCGAAGGCAGCGAGGGCCGTCGCAGTCGGCAAAGCCGTCCGAGCCGGTCGACCGAAAAATAGGTTGGCATACCTCGTATCAAATATCACTCTCAGCTTCTTGTTCTTCTTCGCAACGAAGAAGCAGCCGACGGTGGCCGCGTCACGGGCCCCCCTTCAGCTCCACCATCCCGCGAGCCAGCAACTTGGCGACAAAGTCGGCGTAGAGCAGAGGCTTACTGAAGAGACTGGGGTCGAAAAGAGGTCCGTGAGGGCAGAACTCAGCGCGCTCAGCAGCTGTAGGTCTATCTGGCCTGAGCAGGGTGCTCTGCCGGCGGCCCAGGCACTCAGATTCGGCCTCGCCAAGGCAGGCGGCCGGTGGGACTGGCTGCAGGTCGGGCGAGGGCCAGGAAATGGACTCCTTGACATACGGCCGTCGGGAGGAGAGATCACCCGTCTGGTAGATCCCCGTCCCAGCGAGGAGCTCACGCAGGGCTCCCTCGCGAAGAAAACCTGCCTCAGGTGGGGGCTTGCCAAGTGCACGTACTCGAGACTCGACGTGATCCACTGCGTGCCGCTGTCCGGCATTGGCGGGGACCGTCGGCCGGTCCTGGTGGCCGCACAAGTCGTTCAGAGCGTCGATACACTCGTCGCCCCAGTCGAGAATGTGTTTGGTAGCCGCACCACGCCGCCGAGTGACCCGCGACAGATCATGGCGGCCCGCCGCACCGGCATGGTCTCGGTGCAGAGGGGGCAGTGGAAAAATATCACGTTGGCGACCACTATGTCCCAGCGTGTCAAAAACCTCTCTTTTGATCGGACCGGTAGAGGCAACCCGGTCCACAGGCGCCTCAGTCAGGGAGTCGCGCTGGCCGCCTGAACCAGGCGCGACCGAGGGGGACATCGCCCCTCCTCCTCCCTCTTGTCCTTCTTCTTGTTGCCCTTCATCGCAAGCTCCCTCTCCTCTCGCGCCTCGCGGCGCTCCTTCAGCGGCACCTGCTCTTTGGCCAGCTGGGAGCTGACCCACTCCTGGGGGAGCGGGCGCACGCGCACTCCTCCCCTCGTGAGCTCGCTGCCCATGCAGAGATGCGCGTCCACGCTGTCGGGGCCGCCGCTGGCCGAGCCGCCTGCCCTCCTGTCCCGGTAGCGCTCCTGCAGCATCAGGAAGGCGCGAGTGAGCAGCTCCGCGGCCGCCAGGTTCGCCCCGTTGCACTGGTCGAAGCAGAGCAGCTTCCCCAGCGCTCTGCAAGCGCGTTCGTGCTCCTGCACTCCAGGTTCGTGCTCCTGGAGACGAGCCTCGCTGCGCCACCGAGCGTGCATCCCAGTTGGGGCCCCGCCGTGGTCGACGATGTACCGGAGGTCCCAGTGCGTGGTGCGGGGGCCGCGCACAGGCCACCCTTCCCACTGGTCCCCCCGACACGTTAGCACCGCGTCGCGGAACTCCCGCCGCCTGATGCCCACCATGTCGTAGACCACCGGGAGCGTCCAAGCGTCCTGGACGTGGCCGCCTGCGGGCACCGCAGCGATGGGAACGCCCCCAAAGGCCGCGGGGGGAGGAGCAGCGGCTGCAGCCGCGCCTGCCGCGGCAGGCCAGGGCGCGCCGACGGCAGCACCGAGGGGCGCCGCGTCGGCCCCTGGGGCCGCGGCGGCTGCGGCGCCGGCTGAGGCAGGAGCAGCCGGCGGAAGTGGAGCGGGGACAAGAACTCCTGCAGGTGCCCCCGCTGCTGGTCCGCCGAGCGCTGCCGCGAGGCCGCCGAGCCCGGCCGCTGGGGCCACGCCTCCGAGAGCGGCGGCGGCGGCTGCCGCCGGCGGCCTGGCACAGCACCGGGCGGTGCGAAGGCGCCTCTGGCCACGGGCGCGCCTGGCGTGGCACCTCCCGCTGGCAGCTCGGCAATGCGCCCACCGAGGGCCGGCGCGACGGGCCCCACAGGTGCGGGCTGGCCCAGCCTGGCGGCCGCGGCCGTGGTCGACGCCGTGAGGCTCGCGGCCGTCGGCATCGCACCAGCCCGGAAGCGGTAGTGTCGAGTCCCGGGCCGACCCAGCAGGTCGCCTCCCTGCTGCCGATTCGGCAGCGGCTCCCACTCGACGATGTCCGGCATGCTCCCCACTTCTTCATATTCGTCACCATCGGGGGTGGTGACTGGGACGGCCAGCCCAGCTTGAGGCGGCAGGTAGGTGGCTAGCCGCTCGTGGTACGGATATGGGCCCCCGACGTTGTACCTCACCACACAGAAGTCGTCCACCTGCAGGTCGTGCGAGACCGTGAGCGGGTGGCCACCAGCGACAGCAGGCTGTATCATAGTGCCAACGCCCTCGACCGATACTGTGCCACCTGAGCTCGGGCGGTCGCGCCCAGGTCCTCGGGGTTCAGCTCGGTCCTGGCCCTCACGCTTGTCAAGCAGGCCAGCGGAGAACGCCACGAAGGCCACGCAGGCACACGTGAGGCCCAGCGAGAAAGGGGTCAGCGGCGAGGTGTGGGCCACGTCGCCGGTCGAGCAGGTCAGGGGTGGGCAGTTCAGCACTGGTGAGCACTCGCAGTGCGGGCAATTGGGCCGTCCAGCCCACACGACAAAGCCCGTCGAGACCCCCTCAGCGAGTCGCCCGGCAATATGGCGGAGGGCACTCTGCATGGAAGGAATGGGGGAGGCCTGACTCAGAGCTTGAGCACAAGTGGCAGTGGCCATACGGCGACGCTCCCTACAGTGCCTGCTTCACGTACTGAATACACCCATCATCATCATCATCATCATCATCATCATCATCATCATCATCATCATCGTACGGCGTGGGACCCGGACAGGCACGGCGCGGGGCCCGGACGGGCACGGCGTTCCCTAGTAGTAGTAGTAGTAGTAGTAGTAGTAGTAGTAGTAGTAGTAGTAGTAGTAGTAGTAGTAGTAGTAGTAGTGGTAGTAGTAGTAGTAGTAGTAGTAGTAGAAGTAGTAGTAGTACTAGTAGTAGTAGTGGTAGTAGTAGTAGTAGTAGTAGTAGTAGTAGTAGTAGTAGTAGTAGTAGTAGTAGTAGTGGCAGTAGTAGTAGTAGTAGTAGTAGTAGTAGTAGTAGTAATAGTAGTGGTAGTAGTAATAGTAGTAGTAGTAGTCGTAGTAGTAGTAGTCGTCGTCGTCGTCGTCGTCGTAGTCGTAGTCGTAGTCGTAGTCGTAGTAGTAGTAGTAGTAGTAGTAGTAGTAGTAGTAGTAGTAGTAGTAATAGTAATAGTAGCAGTAGCAGTAGCAGTAGCAGTAATAGTAGTGGTAGTAGTACTAGTAGTAGTAATTCGAAGTAGCAGTAGTAGTAGTAGTAGTAGTAGTAGTAGTACCAGTAATGGTAGTAGTAGAAGTCATCGTCCTCGTCATTGTCGTCGTAGTAGTACTAGTAGGTAGTAAGTAGTAAGTAGTAAGTAGCAATAGTAGTAGTAGTAATAGTAGTAGTAGTAGTTATAGTACTAGTATTAGTAGTAGTCGTAGTAGTAGTAGCAGTAGTAGAAGTAGTAGTAATAGTAATGCTACGAGTAGTAGAAACACTAATCATAGGAATAGTAGTGGTAGTCGTAGTAGTCGTAGTAGTAGTATAGCTATAGTGGTAATAGTCATACTGCGACTGCTCATGCTGATGTAAGGATAGTACGAATGAGGATATGAATGGTAGTAGTAGTAGTAGTAGTAGAATTGATGGTGACTGAAGTAGTGGTAGTAGTAGTAATAGTAGTAGTACTAGTAGTAGTGTAGTAGAAGTAGAAGTAGAAGTAGAAGTAGAAGTAATAGTAGTAGCCGTCGTAGTAGTAGTAGTCGTCATAATAAAAACAGTCGTAGTCGTAACAGAGGTACTGGCAGCAGTCGTAGTAGTAGTAGTAGTAGTCGTAGTAGTCGTAGTAGTAGTAGTAGTAGTAGTAGTAGTAGTAGTAGTAGTAGGGGTACGAGTAGCAGTATTATTAGTAGTAGTATCACTCGTGGAAAATGTGGTAGTAGAAGTAGTAGTAGGAGTGGTAGTAGTAGTAATAACAGAAATAATAGGAATGGGAGTAGTAGTAGTAGTAGTAGTAGTAGTAGCACTTCTGATAGAAGTAGTACTAGTAACAATGATAATAACATTAGTAGTCGTAGTCGTGGCCGTCGTCGTAATAATATTAATAATCGTCTTAATCGTAGTTCTAGTAGTAGTAATAATAGTAATATTAGTAATAATAAACGTAGTAGTAGTAGTAGTAGTAGTAGTAGTAGTAGTAGTAGTAGTAGTAGTCCTAGTATGTAGAACATTCAAAAAACATTATCAAAAGAGTACCAACGATCGTCCTCATACTCTTTTTTACTATTGTTGAATTTCCTCCTGTAGAGAAACATTTCCGACTTAAGGTTAATCTTTGCCTCCCCCTTGGTCTTCACATCCTCCCTCCCCCTTCGTCTTCACCTCCCCCTGACCACAGTTGGGCCACGACCACGGGTTCCCCCTCAGCCTTGTCCAGTCAGGGGGTACCTCGTTGGGCCAGGACCACAGATTTCCTGGCACCTGGGGAAACCAATAGGTACCGATACTGCTACCCACCGGACCTCTCCCGGGGTGCGTTCTGACCAGAATTTCAAGACGAATCCAGCGGTGGCGACGAGGGCCTCCCAAGATGCCCAAAAAGGGGAACACGGGCGAAGGGTAGAGTTATGGGTACCTTTTCCTCCTCTGAGCACCTGGATCCTCGACAACTCCTCTTGACCCAGCCTTGCCCCCATGCGACCCGCCAGCAGAAGCTTGACCGGGGACTGCCGGCGCTTCCGGCGGCCCAACGCCAGGCGCTTCACGTCGGTGAGGCTCGACTGCTGGCCCCGCCCGCCCGCGCTCGACGGCTCGAAGGCCCGGAGCTTCTTCCATGAAGCCTCCAGGGGGGGCGGCCGCCCTCCATGAATTACAGATCCGCGGATAGTGAAGTACACCCAAGACCATTGCTTTCGCGAGTATAGCCAAACTTGCTGCTGCAACTTGCCTGTGCGGATATGATCCAATTGCGAATCTGCCAAAACTTGCTCTTGCGAGTCCCTCCTCTCCGTGACTCCCCCAACCCTGTCCTCCTTCGGCGGCGAGCCTGGGTGGGGGAACTGGGAACGGCTGGCCTTCTCAGAAGGCTCGGAAATCCCCCAGCCTTCTGAGAAGTTTCCTCGGCCTTCCCCGAAGACGCAGAAGACCTCTCAAAAGCTGGAGGGCTTCTGAGAGGCCCCTCCGCCTTCCAAGAAGGCCTTCTCCTTCGCACTTCCACCCCTCTCTCGCCGCCCAATTTGGCTTTTGGGTCACCACTCGGGTCTCCGGCGGGTGCTCGGGACGATCCGGGCACCCCAGAAAGCCCTCGGCGGGGCGCAGCTGCTAGCAGGCATCCCGAGGCTGGAAAACCGCCGAGAACCGACGAAAGCGTCCGAAAGCCTCGGACCTCGAACCCGAAACTTCTCCCCTTCGCTCCCTTCGGCGGTGGACAAAACTCCCTTTAGCAAACCTCCCCTCAATGAAAATTGCCTAGGACCGAAACCGACGGACCTGGACCCGCAAAAACGACGGCCGCGACGCCCTCTCGCAAACCGAAAACGGCCGATTCTTTCATCGACGTGTCAGGGTAGGACGTCTATCCACCTCCGACGAAAGCGTCCGAAAGCCTCGGACCTCGAACTCGAAACTTCTCTTAGGTCGGGCCTGTCCCCCTACAGGGGGATCTTGAGCGAAAAATTCAAAATACTCCAAACATACTCCCAGAATGCCCCGAAATAGTCAAAAAAATGCCCCCATACAATTTTTTGCCTTTCTTTGAACATCCCTCGGGTAGAGGGTCAGGCCCGACTTAAAACGTCTCCCCCCCTTGCTCGCCGCCGGCCCCTCCCTTCGAGTAGGGGATCGACTACAGAATTGATTTACCCCAGAATTTATTTTTCTTGTCGAGTCCGCGGGCAATCCGAAAACTTTCGCAGATCTACGAATGGTTGACGTACTTTTGTCGAAGAGTCGACGTGAAAATCAATTTTGGGGTAAACCAATTCTGTAGTCGATCCCCCAGTCGATCCCTGGGGGCCTCCACGGGGGAAAGGTATACACCACACCACCCCGACGTCGTCCCCGACCCTCGAAAAAGTCCTGGGATTGAAAGACAGCCCGCCACTGGTAATGGATATGTTCTTCCAGTTTCCGACGAGATCCTCGGACCTCGAACCCGAAACTTCCCCCCCTCGCCCGCCGCCGGCCCCTCCCCGGAGGCCTCCACGGGGGGGGCGCCGCCCAGCACGTAGCGGCGCAGCTGCAGCTCCCGCTCCAGCTCCCGCGCTCGGCCCAGGGCGAGCTTGACGGGCCAGGGGGCGCCGAGGAGGCGGGCCAGCACGTCGGAGGAGGAGGAGCAGGAGGAGGAGGAGGAGGAGGAGCAGGAGGAGGAGGATGAGCAGGAGGAGCAGGAGGAGCAGGAGGAGGAGGAGGAGGAGGAGGAGGAGGAGGATCTTGGTCCCCAATCTTCTCCATTCTGCTCTGCTCCCCCAGGGGGGCCCGACCGGGCCTCCCTGCGGAAGGCGGCTGCGCACAAAGGCGCTGACGCCGTGAGGGAACAGGAAGCAGGAGGAGCAGGAGGAGCAGGAGCAGGTACAGAGTGCACCCAAGAAGGATCCATGATTCTGCAGTGCACCCCAGGGCTGAACCTAAACGGTGTTTTGCGTTTTCGTTTTCGTTTTCCCTCGTTTTGTCGCCAATCCGCCTTTATAACGCAAAACGAAATCGAAACGAGAGCCGCCCACGACATCGCCAAGACACCGTTTCGGTCCACCCCTCGCTCGGGCGTCCGTTCCCTGTGCTTTTTGCGGCCTCGTGCGCGGCTTTTTCGCCCAAGGATCGAGGATGCTCCTCGAGGTGTTTTTCGTTTCCGTTTTCGTGTTGTTTCCGTTTTCCCTCGTTTTGTCTTCAATCGCCCTCAGGGGTCCTCGCCCAGGAGGAGAAATACACACGCCCGAGCGATGCCAGGTCCAGGGCCCAGGGGCGCACAGATAGAGACGGCGCGCGCCCCAGGATTCCCCACAGCTCCCAGGATGCCCATATTTCTCCATGTTTTCTGGAGTCTCGTCTTCCCTCTCCACTTCCCGTAGTTTCCCGCATCTTCCTGGGAATCGGCGAGTCTTTGTATCTGTATGTGTGCGTGTTTTTTCCTTTGGAACATCGTGGCCCCGGGCACGTGCGCGGACAAGGCAAGACGAAGCCAGGACGATAGATCGAGAATCTGAGAGCCAGCGGCTCTCTGGAAGATGTCTTGGGCGCCGCGTCCTTCTCCGAGCGTTCCGGAACGCTCTGAGAGCGCTCCGGAGATCTCTAGAACGGACTCATCCTCGTCCTAGCCCCGTCCGACAAGAATGAAGGGGCCCTGGGACACACGAATTAATACAGACAAATAAAAGGATTCCCCGTATTTTCCTATATTTTCTGGGTTTCTGTCCGCCCCCCTACTGACCATATTTCTTATATTTTCTGGGGAATCGACGATCAATTGTCTCTGTGTGTTCTTTCCCTTCTGAAAGAAGAGGGGGACCAGCGCATCGAGGCCTGGGGCACGTGCGCGGGCGAGAGGGGGGGCTGGCAAGGAAAGTGAAGACGCGGAGGCTGTGAATTGTGGGAGATCCTGTGGCCCTGGCCACGGTATCCCAGGGCTGAACCTAGATGATGCTTTTCGTTTTCGTTTTGTATTCGTTTTCCCTCGCGTTTGTCTCGAATCCGCCCTTTCACACACACACACACACACACACACACACACACACACACACACACACACACACACACACACACACACACACACACACACACACACACACACACACACACACACACACACACACACACACACACACACATACACACACACACATCTAGTCCCTAGTCCTCGAAGGTACCGATGCTGCTGCTCCCCGGACCTCTCCAGGAGAACATGGCCGTGGCGACGAAGGAATGGTGGCGGTACGGCCATGCCTTCCTCTTCTGGTCCCCACCCCTCTCCCCGCCCTGCTTGAGCGAGCCCCCCCGCCCGCTCTTCCCCGCCTCTCCTCTTCTCCACCCGCACACGATGCAGCTGTGCAAGCGCTGGGCGTGCCGCTGCTCCCGCAGAGCGGAGCGCACAGGCCGGACATCTCCTCTTCTTCGCCCGCGCGCTCCGGCGTGTGGCTTGGCTGACCGACTGGCCCCCCTCTTGAACGCCCCGAGATGGGGCCCGAGAAGCTCCCAGACTCCAGCTGCTCGGGTCGGGCGAAGGGGGGGCATAGCAAAGGGGGGGTTTGAGAATCAGCTCACGTAGCTGATTTTCCCGGCGCCTCCCGGCGCCGGAGGCGGCCATGCATCGAGGAATGGGCCCCTCGGTGAGGCCGAAACCAGCTGCACGCAGCAAATTTCGTACCCCCCCTTTCCCAATCCCCCCCCCTTTCGCCCGGCCCGAACTTCATGCCCACCGCGTCCACCACGTCGGACAGCGGCCAGGGCAGCCGCAGCCGAGCCGCCAGCCCGGCGGCGGGCCCGCGCAGCTGCGCCGGGAGCTGGCCCGCGTGCTGGGACAGCAAGCCGAGGCCGAAGTGCGCGCGGCAGAGCTCGGCGAGCTCCTCTTTTGGCGCACAGACATGAAGGGGCCCCAGGACACACAAATAAATACACACAAATAGCAATATTCCCCATATTTTCCCGTATCTTTGAGGTTTCGTCTTCCACCCCACTTCCCATATTTTCCTATATTTTCGGGGGAATCCACAATTAATTGTGTCTGTGTGTTTTTTTCCCTCCTGAAGACAACCCGTATAGCAAGGACGCGCGATGAGGATGCAAGGCCCGTGGAAGCCCATTTCGAAGTTTTCGAGCGGGGCGCGACTCACGAGAGTGGCCACGGATGCACCGAGGAGGCAGGGATGCAAGGGTGCCCTTGGCTTGGGAAGGTTGCCTGTCCTCCCTGCGCGGGCTGACTGCCAGGGAGCACCGACAACCATCGACGCTTTTCTCCGGCGATGCTCGACGGAAACGAGCACGTGGCACGGAAGAAGAAAGGCCTCGCCGAGGACTCTGTTTTGGACGCCCGAAATGGGCACGGAAACAGTGGGCACAAAACCCAACAGCAAATGCTGTCCCGAACCATCAGCGGCCGCTGTTGGGCAGAGGGCCTTCCGTCTCAAACGGACACAGGCCTCGGCGGCGCGGACGGCGAATCCTGCTCAAAATGAACAGGAACTGCTGTTGGGTATCGTACCCCTTCGTTCCGCGCCCATCTCGTTCGTGCAGATCTGTGATCGTCGTGCCCACCTCGTTCGGAAGAGGAGGAGGAGGGGAGCAGGAGGAGGAGGGAGGAGGGGGAGGGGGAGGAGGAGGAGGAGGAGGAGCAGGAGGAGGAGGAGGAGCAGGAGGAGGAGCAGGAGGAGGAGGAGGAGGAGGAGGCCTCTGCGATCGTCGTGCTCGTGGCACGCCGCCGCCGTGCCTGGCCTCGAGGGGCATCCCCGGGGCCCGCGCGCTGCAAGTCTGAAGTGACTCTGGCATCTCATATAGCATCAAATTCCATGTCGTATTCCTTCGATATGGGGAGTGGATGGATAGGATAGGATAAGATCGATGTAGTGATCTTGCCAGCGCATAGCGAACACTAAGGTAAGTGTCCGGGCAAATAGGGCGCGCGTGCCTTGAACCAAAGGCAGCGGCGCGCAGGCTATACTCCCGATCCTCTATAATATCTCCCAAAGAGCTACCCTTAAAGTCGGGAGGGGAGGAGACGGAGAGTAAAGCCGCGCAGCCGCTAGGCTCTAGAAAGGCCGCGCGCGCAACCGTTTGCAAGAAAAACAGTGCGCACAGTCTGGCCTACCACCAGACTGAAGGGCGAGATTATTCGACGGCGAAGTTCCTCGCAAAACTTTCCCACGCACACGCAGGATAGCCCCTTGGATATACAAGGGCTACCGGCCCGGCTAGAGGTAAGCCAAACAGGCTATTCCCTTCCAGGCAAAAGGGTATTAAAGCAAAGAGCCTGAACCAATATGAACAGGCTCGTTGCCAAGCGTGATAAGTGTGGCTCGTTTCCGAGCAGATAGGAGGGCGCCTCTGTATTGGGCGCCCGTGCTGGCAAACTGGACCGCGGGGGCAACAAGGACAGACTAAAACTGATTCGACTTAGGCTTGTTTCTGTCCTCGGGGCCACGAAAGGGAACAAACTGCTTCACGTCGTACTTAAATGACTGAGTGCCTGACATCACTTCCAGAAGCAGCTCCCGAGCGATACCCCCCTTTGTATGCCCATCTGCGGTCATGTCTCTAGTGTCACACCACTGTACGTTATGCACTATACCTATATCCATGAGCTCACGTAGCCAGCTGATATGTCCCAGCAAAGTCCGTTCCGTCGGTAACTTAAGATCTTTGCTGGAAAGCGATGTGTATACAGACTCAGCGTCTATAGTAAGGGATACTTTGATAGCTAGGCCTCCAACTTCACGCATGTCTCGTAGTTGTCGTGGAGTAAGTGCTCCTGCCTTGAGCTCGTGGAGAGCGATGAGCGTGGGATAACACTCATCAAGATTGCGTTCAGCTGCAAGTGCCTCAGCGGCATAGCTGGACCTCGCCTGCAGTCGGTGTGATTTGCAAGGTCCGTCGCAAAGGTGAATGACGGATTTGCCTTGAGGCGAGTTTCCTCGCCGTAATACGTTAGCCCCACGAATGCCGTAGCCCTTGGTTTCATCGCCCTCCTCCCCGGTGAGCTTCCGATACCCCGAATCACTGTGTATGTCTACTTCACTCGTCGGTCTCATCCGAGGGAAGGCGATGCGTTTCGGGCTGCTGATCAGCTTTCGCGTCGCAGCATTCAGTCGTCCGACTTGTAAGTTAGTGGGCTCTTGGATCTTCTGGGGAGAGACCACATACAACATAAGCCAGACTTGAGGAAGAAGGGCATGGGCGAGAGCTCCTCGCAGGCTAACGATCATGTCGGTGATGAGTTTGGTAGCTTTGGCGTCTGCCGCCGCTCCCGTAAGTTCAGGGTGTGTGATAGGACGTAGTTGTTTGATGTACTCGCCCTGGTCCATGATCACATCCCCTTGTTCATTCTTCACGCAGCGAACGGCGCAGTTCGTGTAAGAATGGTTGTTGAGCTTGCATTTACCAAACACCTTTCCGACGCGTTGTACATAGTCATCTATGTTTTTTTCTCTAGGCCTGTTATATTGATGTCGTCGACGTGTTTTGCCGTTAACAGATCCTGACTGAATTCGAACTCAGGATCGCAACTTGTCGGTGCAAGGCCTATAGCTCGTGTAGTCGTACGAAGCTTGAGGGAGAACGCTCTTGGGGCGTCCTTTGCACCCGTTCCTGGCTTGAGGCACCTGAGGCAGTGTCGGCTTTCATCGTAAGAAGAGAAGCCTGGTAGTGTACGAAGCACCTGGGCGCTTCCTGGTGGAAGGGTGAAGCAAACCATGCGAGTTTCCTCGCCGGTGGCATGAGCAAGTTCCTCATAGGTCAGTCCTTTGAGGAACGCTTTGTCGATGTCCATAGATGCTAAGATCCATTATGGATGACATGCCGCCTCACCTGCCAGGAGCCTCTGGGACTGTCCTCGAGCAGTTCCTGAGAAGGTTTCTACATCGAAAGCCTCCGTGTCCATGAATCCGCGGAGGACAAGCCTGAGACGGATGGCTTTAACATTCTCGGTGCCTACCTTCACAAACTTCCCCTTGTATACATATCTGGATGTCATGATGTTGGGGGCTTTAGGTAGGTCATACATCTCAAAGCATCGGTTGTCAAGCCAGATCTTGAGTTCGGTGTGCAAAGCTTCACTAACCTCTCTAGGATGTGCTGCTATATCGGCTTCGGTAAGTAGGTCGTCTTCCTTGACTACCACAGCACGTTTAGCAGCAGATGATACATATACTCTCATCATTGCGACCATGTCTGTTTTCAAGCTGTGCAAGTTGGGTCTGATCCAACACAACTCGTAACATTTGTGGCGCGAAGCATAGCTCAACATAGGGACCATGTTCATCACTGTCAAGAGAATACCCCTCGTCACGAGTAGTCGAGCTTAGAGAGATAAGACAAGGCTCTTATAGTTCAGGCTCGTCTCCGAGCATCTCCGACACTACAGTATCTTCATCGTCCACGGATGCTGAGACCAAGACGCGTTGGTCGGGCAGCATGGTTGTTGGGACGCAGTAGAGATAGTCGTCGATAACCGTTGTGGGATGAAGGTCCATACGTAGCTCATCGTACCACTCCTCTATCATCATAGCCTCGATGTCGTGTTCCTCGCTTTCTTCGTAGATTGTAGACAGGCGACCTTCACTTGGTGATGAAACACCTGGGGTGTCTGGAGGAGGCCTGTCTCCAGGCTGGTCGTGTTCTCCAGACGTTGTGCCCAAGTGCTGATACTTGGCAAAGTCGTCATGGAATCCCAGGGAAGGAACTTGTGATGTCAGGCACTGGATGAGTCTGGAGTGAGCGCTACCAGTGATTTGAGAGATGTTCAGGCCGGTGCCGAAGTGGCTCGAAGCTGGCCCAAGACAGCCCAAGAGGCCTCCAAGAGGCCCTCCAGGAAGGCCAGAAAAGGCAAAACATACGGATTTCCCTTAGGTTTTTGAGAACATCTGACATTCGCTTCGTCTCGGCCTTCCGACGGCCCGATACGGCCCAAGAGCCCCCAAAGATCGCCCAAGAGGCCTCCAAGATGGCCCCAGAACGACCCTCGAGGCCCCCAAGACGGCCCCAACAGGCCCCAAAGACGGCCCAGGAGGCCTTTTAAGACGCGCAAGATGGCCTCCAAGACGGCCCTTGAGCATTCCAAGAGGGCCCCAAGTCGGTTCAGAGAGGCCCCCCAAACGGCTTTCGACGGCGTCGGACGGGCCAGGGGCCCACCAAGACAGCCGAAGATGGCACTAAGATGGCCCAAGACGGCCCAAGAGGCCTCCAAGAGGGCCTCCAGGAAGGCCCGAAAAGGCCAAAATTATTGATGTCCCATGAGTTTTTGAAGGATTGTGGCATTTGCTTTTTGTTCGGCCTTCCGACGGCCCGAGACGACCCAAGTGCCCCCCAAAGATCGCCCAAGAGGCCCAAGGCGGCCCCAAGAGGCCCCCAAGACGGCCCAAGAGGTCTCCAAGACGCTCAAGATGGCCTCCAAGACGGCCCAAGAGCCCATCAAGACGTTTGGCAGGCCTCTGGCCACAACCTTCGGCCACATCGGCGCTTCCAAAAATGTAGGGGGCGGCGGTGATTGACCGTAGGCGTCTTCGATACAGCAGAAAGATGGGGTCTGGGGGTCTGTTCGCGACTTTTCACGATGCTGCACTTCTGTCGCAACGTCGGATCTCGGAGATCCTAGGCCAAGGCATCGTGTATACGACCATCCCGGCCGAGGGCCCGCAAGAGTAACCGCGCGTATGCACCAAGGCATCTGGGCCCTGTCCCATAGGGTTTCGTGCATACCATAACTTTCTGGCCGGTTCTCACGGCGACAAATGTTGAAACAAATATACACACCGTGCTTGGGCCGCCATGTGCCGCTAAGTGGTGGACCAACATACCATAGTAGAATGGACATGTTCCTGGCCCCGAAGGATGCTAACATAATAGGCACGATGGTGCTGCACAAATACCTACTGCGGAGATCCTTGCACGCGAGCGCGACCACCTTGTCTGGGCCATTCGCGTCGCCCTCCCTTTTCTTCCGTCTCTGCGACTGAGCTCGCGGCTTGGGTAGCACAGCCGTCTTCACGGCCCACACCTCTGGCACGGGCGGGTGGAACATGCTGATCAGGGCCACCTCTGGAAGAAGAAACAACTGCAAAAACATTAACGTTCGGAGTTCCGCGCAAATGTCTTGGATCGGCGCCTGAGGCCTGCTCCTGCTCTTCCTCCTCCTCCTCCTCCTCCTCCCTCGCCTCCTCCTCCTCCTCCTTCTCCTTCTCCTCCTCCTCCTCCTCCCTCTCCTCCTCCTCCTCCCTCCTCCTCCTCCTCCCTCCTCCTCCCCCCCCCCCCCCTCCACGATTACTCAATATGAATACTACTCTCCTCCTTCCCCTGATGACGGGTTGGGAGTGCTTCGCCCCCCCCCGCGTACTGTTTTTTTTACACAGGATTCCCCGGAGTTGGGTTTTCGCCTGCATTTGTTTTCAAAATGCTGCTCTCGCTGAGGCGCCGGCCTCATTTTCGGGCCCCGCTCGTTCCGAATCGTGCTCCCGCTGCAGCGCTGGCATCATTTCCGTGCTTCCGCTCGTTCCGAATCGTGCTCCCGCTGCAGCGCTGGCCTCATTTCCGCGCTTCCGCTCGTTCCGAATCGTGCTCCCGCTGCAGCGCTGGCGTCATTTCCCGTGCCATGCCACGGCATGCAATGCAATGCTAGGTTGCGTTCCGCTGCGCGATGACATGCCTTCAGCTGAAGCTGTGATATGCAGTGCTTAAGTGCCACGTCGTGCTATGCCATGCTACGCTTTGATCTTCAACGCCATGCTATGCAATGTTATGTTCGGGGCCGCTGTGCGATGCCATGCTTTGCGTTGCAAAGCTTTGTGATGCAATTCTTCACTACGCCACGCCACGCCATGCTGTGACATACTACGCTTTGCGGTGCTCTTCTACGCCATGCCATGCCGTGCTCTACACTGCATCGCGTACCCTTTCGGGATCATTGCCCTGCTCGACATCCGACTGTGCGAGTAGAGAGGGGATCTACGCCATGGTAAGGGATGGGAGGGAAGGGTAGGATGTCAGATGTGACGCGAGCGCACCTAGCTTGTCCTCCCCCCTCCTCCCCTCTCCTCCTCCTCCTCCTCCTCCTCGGATTCGGGTCACGCTGCCGACCCGTTCCGTTCTTGCTTCTGCGAGCCTCTCGGGCCAGCAGCGCCTCCAGCTCCGCGGGCCGCGCGGCCGCCAGCAGGCCGCCGGTGACGAGCACCACGAGGCGCGCGCTCGCGCCGCGCGGCCACGCGTCGAGCGACAGCGTCAGCAGCGCCGCCCGCTTCACGTGCGGCAGCACGAGGAGCCGCGGGCAGGGGAAGTCGACGCCCACCAGAGTGCACGCCCTCGCCTGCGTGGAGGGCAGGAAATCCATGCCGATGATGACCACCCCGACACGCGAAGCCGCTTCGCAAACGCGCCCAGAGATGGAATCAGACAGGGCAGGGCTGTTTAGTAAACGCTTGAATTAGAGCTTTGCGCGCCCCGCCTAGCTAGCTCTTCACCGGAAGAGGCCCGCTCTCGACCCGCAGACCAAAAAAAACAGTAAACGCCCAGGGCTGTTGAGTAAACGCTCGTTGTCCGGTCCGGGCAGTTTTCCCGCCCTCGCCTGCGGGCGAGCGGGGCGCCGAGTCGAGCAGGCTCGGGCGAGCACGCTCGTGCCCCCCGTGGGCCCCCTGTGGGCAGAGCGCGGGAGGCGCCGCAGCCTCGAGACGCGGGGCCGGTTCGGGACGGAGATGCCAGATCCCTCGCCCTGGGAAGCGGGTGGGCGAGGGGCGGCGGCGGAGGCGACGGCGACGACGATGGGGGACGGAGCCGTCCCGTTCCGCGGGGGCACGACGTTGCATCAACAGCCTGCGTGCGGGGCCCTGGCGAGAGAGCGGTTGCACAGGAAAGCCGCTTGCGCCTCACCCGCCGAGGCCTCCCCGAAGCCTAGCACCAGGGAAGCCCCAGGGGACACGCGCATGGCCATCAGGCCTCTGGGAAGCCCCACGGTCCAGGACCCCCCCCTTCCTCAGGGCTTCCTCTCATTCATGGGACGCACAGAGACATACTGATACTATATGTGCTCCTTGGAGGCGCGCGTCCGACCCGAACATGTAGTATACCCATCTTGTAGTAGATCGTTTCGCGAGCAGTGCGGCCAGAAAGCGCCCGCAACGACGCATATACTATAAGATTTCTCGGTGCGCGCATCGCCCCTGGGGGGCGACGCACATATAGTACAAGTATGTTGGGGCGACGCCGATAATATTCATGGCAGAGGGGACCTGCCATGCAGGGGTCCCGGAAGAGCTGGATCGTGATCCCCCGGGGCTTCCCCTGGGACCGGCCTGTCCTCCTCCTCCTCCTCCTCCTCCTCCTCCTCCTCCTCCTCCTCATCCTCGTCCTCCTCCTCCCGCCCCCCCCCCTTCCTCAGGACCTCCTCTCATCCATGGCAAAAGGGACCTGCCATGCAGGGGTCCCGAAAAAGCCGGGTCCTGATCCCCCGAGGCTTCCCCCAGGACCGGCCTGTCCTCCTGGGCCGCTCCGAGGACGGGCCACGGGGCGCACGGAGGGGCCCCCCCCTGAGCCCGAGGGCGGCGAGAATGCTCCGGGATTCGGTTCCCCCGGGACATCGCCATGGCCGCTCCGAAGACGGGCCACGGGGCGCACGGAAGGGCCCCCCATGAGCCCGAGGGCGGCGAGAAAACTCCGGCATTCGGTTCCCCCGGGGCAAACAGTCAACCCGTATAGTAAGGATGCGCGGTAGGGACGCAAATGGCCTTGGAGTGCCACGTGAACGTTTTTCGAACGAGGTTGGCCAGCCAAAACGGCCAAGGATAGACCGAGGAGGCAAGGATGCAAGGGTACCCTTGGGAAGGTTGCCCGTCCTTACTGTGCGGGCTGGCTGTATGAACTTCATCCTCTGGCGCAGCCCACATGGACACGGACAAAAATGGGCACGATGTCCAACAGCAAACGCTGTCCCAAACAAGAGCGGCCGCTATTGGGCAGACGACTCTTCCCCTCGAATGGACCACGCTAGCGGCGACACCGACAACGTGCTCTGTTCAACACGACCAGGAACTGCTCTGTCGGTCTTCGCCACACTTCCATACCCCATGCCCATGTCGACCGTTCGGGGATGGACAGACCTCCTTTTAGTAAAACGTGGCTTAGTGAAAACGACCCGAAGCCCAAACCTGGCGGGCGCAAGCCTGGAACACAACGGCCGCGGCGCCCTCTCGAGAGCCGAAAACGGACAATTCACTCATCGACGCGTCGCTGTTGGGGGTTTTGCCCACCCCCGAACCGTGACGAATTCGGAGGGAGGAGGAGGGAGGAGGAGGAGGGAGGAGGAGGAGGAGGGAGGAGGAGGAGGAGGAGGAGGGATTGGATTGGATTGGACTCAAACGGAGACCAGGTCAAGCCTGGGCGCAATCCAATCTCAGGGAGCAGGCCAGGGGACTCCGCACTTGGGCGGGAGTCTTCGCGAGAGGCGGCTCAGCACCTCTGCTCCCGCCTTGGTGGGGCGGCGTGACGGGGGACAGACTTTACAAAGGCCCCGTGCGTTCACAGTGCCGAAACTCCCACAAACAACACAATACAGCACACCCCTGAAAACCTCGAGGGTGTGCGAACTATCAGCATGCATATACACGGGATGGAAGGAGGGATCTTCAGGCGCCAAAGCGCGGGCCCCAGGACAACGACCAGGAAGGAAGCGTCTAAGAAGGCCATTTTTCGGGAACCTACGACCACACATCAGACACTTCAAATCGGCCGAACGCCTCACACAGGAGTGGCCAGCGGCGAGGAGACGGGCCTTGCTGGTAGCGAAGGCCGACGAAGCACGGGGCTTACGCGGGGCACGACCGACGCGGGCTGCCGTCAAGCGCTTGCAAGACTCAGCCACTTCCAAATTCACTGAAACAACAACCTACCTAGAATGGAGTGGGTCAACTCATCTTGTTGTCAACTCTCAGAACGACGTCATCAGGAACTGCACTGGAATCTGCAGCCCATCCAGCGAAGAAATCTGCACACCAATCCAGAAAATACTCATCAGACGGAATGCCGAACTTCAACTGCATATCTGGGGTAGCGTGCGACTTAGTCCATAGTACTACAACATTACCAGGTCCACGATTATCTAGAGCATACCACACTTGAACCCACAAGTCCATCATGAGCGAGGTCTTAGCAATCGAAGAACGTGGTTTAGCCATAGCACGACACAGTGGGAGATAATCTGTATAGCATACAATGTCGCCACGGGTGTGATTGAGGACTACGAGGAAGGCGAACAGCTCGGCCCTAGGACTTGATTGCTCAGGGGTCGGGAGGGAACCACAACAAATAGCACCTAGCCGAGGTCAATCAACGGCAGGAGGTCCCAAACGGACAATAGCCCAACCACACCTTCTCAACCTATCATCTTTGGCATGCTGACCTCCAGACCCATCGAGCCCCCACAGACCTCCATCAAGCTTCTGAAGAGGCCCTAATCGTCCCCAAGACCAGACACGAGAATAGGGAGCAGGAACCAGCCCAACGGTAGCAGAAAGAGATGGAAGACCACGAGCCCACAGGGCACTATCGGGGGCGGCAGCGTCAGCTTGTGGTCGCAGATGGGATGTGAGAAGAACGGCCGTATTATTCATATATTCATTACTGGGGCACTGCCAACATCTATGCATCATAAACCCTTTCTCATCTGCACACCTAGGGCACTGGCCTAAGGTCATGCACCCTGACAGGAGCAAACGCTCCTCTGGCCAACAGGCCCCGACTGCAATAGTGACGAGCATTGCTGCTCTCTGGTAGTCGCCGTCTTGCACCAGCGACCGATGAAACTTCCTGAATACTGTGAAGTCGGCGCCGTGCTCGACTCCTGCAGCACAAAAATGCTCAGACGCCTTTGACCAGACCTGGGCTCTACACGTTTCACGAACACGGCGAGCGAGATGAGAGCGAAGGTCAGGGGCCCCAAGACGGATATCGGAGGACCCAGGAACTTCCCAGCGATCGATGGCCCTTGGAATCCAACCGAGGTCCAGGACAGTAGCACCCACGGCCGCAATAGGGCCTTTCACCCGTCTCCATCTTTAGCCGCAGGTTTATGGTCGAATACTTCATCATATCGAGACCACGCTCGACGGGCTCCTGCTTGAATGCCTGGTGGTAGAGACTCCCAGACATCCGTCAGTAGGGTAAGCTGTTCTACTCGAAGGCGAAAAAATCGGATCATCGTTGGGATCACTCAGGACCTGAAGAACCGAAGTCGTACAAGCTCCAGAGCTCCAGAACCCAGAACATGCCGCGGCAGTGCCGCGCAGCTTCTTCATCTCCCCAGGAGGGACCCTCAGGGCCCCATGGCCCCAAGTACCGACGGACAGGGTTCCAGGGTTGGAAACTTTCCTTGGGCGTCCGCACAGCTGCGCCAAATATCTAAGCTTCATACTTCTCCGAAAAGCAATGCCTCATCTGAGCTTAATCCTCCAAGTGGGACGACGTTTAGTAAGGGTAGTAAGAGTACCAAGATCTTTCACATATTCGCCAAAGCTCAGGACGAGGTTAAACTTGGCAAACTCGGCGCGCATCAACTGCTGGACTGCCTTGCTGGACGCAAGGGCGGTAGACTTGGTTGAAATTCTGCAACCCAAGTCCTCAACGTCATGCTGGAAAGAAACAACAGCCTGAGGAAAATACTTGGTCAGGAAGACTGACGTGCCGTGCAGGAACTGAATGTCGTCAACGCAGGACCGAATCGGAACTCGGACCGTGGGGCTCGTGTTGGGGCCTTCGGGAATCCTGTTCTGGGCTCTCTCCAAGATATCATACAGGTAGCATTTAAACCAGGGCGTACTCTGACCACACCCCGCCAAAATGGACCCCCAAGCTGCCAAGACCTTGGGCATCATCCTGGAGACCTCCAGGGCCCTCGGGAACGCGTGGATGAGGAGGCCAAGGTAGAGGTAGGCGGGGTATGCATGCTTGATGGCAAGGTGCATCAACTTGCGCGGGGGAACTGAATCGAAAAACTTCTCCATATCCCAACTGGCACATACTGCAGCCATGTCAGAAGAGAGAGCAACTTCGTCACAGACTTCCCGGTACAGGTTGGCCTTCAAGGCCGAGCTTCCTTTCACAGCCGTATCCCAAAACTCAAGATGCTCTCGGTTCCAAGAATCGATATCAAAGCCCCGCGCCTTAAAATAAATGCGGTAGACAGCGGGGCATTTAGCGATGGCTCTCTCATCCATGATGGACTTTGGGATCATGGCCATTACACGGAACAGGCGCTGCGAGGGGAAGGCAAGCTTACCTTCGATGTCCACAAAGACATCGGTGAGCTGCTCGGGCGCT